TATGTATTCTTATTCCAATTATTAGCCTAGAATTACTATGTTATGCGCGCAGCAAACAAGTATAGACCAAATCGCCTAAATTGGAATAAAACATTTCATGTTTGTTTTGAAAATGGTTTGCTACTCGCAAGTAGGCTAAAATGCAGGTTTTGCCACCCTCAAGTGGACTTTTAGAAAAACATGATTTTGCCACTATCTAGTGGGCTTAAAACTTACAGTTTTAATGCATTTTTCCAATTTAGGTAATTCAACCTCCATCCACAGGCATTCAAGCAGTTATATCACATAAGCAGCTAGCCTCATGGTAATCATGCAATTATGGCAACACTCACACGCATGCAAGGATGCTAAAGTATAGATACTTACATCGTACTTCGTGCCAAAACAAAAACTAGTTAATAATAATATGCATGATCCTAGTTCATGTTAAGATAGCTAATGCAACACATGCAAGATGCAACTAAGATAGGCTCGGCTAATCTACAATGACATGTGAAATGCTACAATTAACACGTATTCAATTTGGAATTGAAATACAAATGCAGTTAGAATGATGCGCTGAGCCCGGTGCATGCAAGACAAATGTATGGATGCACGCATGCTAAGCATAAGGTATGCTAATTTAAATATGCCCTAGTCTACCATCATAAGCGGGTAAATAAAAGGGAAGAAAGACGTGGGGTTGGAAGACATACACACACTCACGCACACTTATTACACAATTGCCCTCACTCGGAGGGTCCGAAAGAATAATACAGTCCGAATAACAAATCAACTATCCTAGCTAATTAATTATTACAGACCCTTAATTAATTATCAAAAGAAATGCAGAAAGAAGGTGGCCGCAGCCGTGCCTCGGGATACGCGAATGATGCATGCTCGATCCATCTTGCCCAGAAACCCGTACCATGCCACTGCTGCCTCTGTTAATGCTGCCCTGCTCCTCTGAAAAATTTCCAAGGTCTTGGGATATGTTCTATGCACACTGTTGAACACCATCGGCTAAGAGAAATAACCACTGGCCATGGGAAATTTCCATCGGCTGCTTTCAAGTATATTGGCCACATATTCTTTGCCGGTCGGCATTAAACACTGCCGATCGGCCAAAAATTCCTGCTAGGACCTGCAGTTGAACCTGCAGTTGGCAGCAGCAGTACATGGCATGGAATTTTGAGCTAATGTGAGCTTGGTCACACTCCCAATCATGCATGAGACTCAAGGGAGCGTGACCCTCGACCCTCGGGCCATCAATCATATATTTTGATGTATGATGGCCTAAGGAGCCGAGGTTGCAATTCAATGTAAAATGCATGCAAACAAAACACGTGAATACCAACACCCTATCATGTTGGAGTCAAGGGGATTGGCAACCGAGGGTTGAGGCGTGTTTTGTCACTTGAAGTACAAACACTCCTCAATTCCCATGCCCGGTTTGACACCCCAAACCAAGCAATGCAATGCATGTTATGCAAACATGGCTCAAAAATGCAACATGACACTAAAATACAAGGCATGCCGAATGTAATGCAACATATCATGGCTAGCATACAATGTTCCTAACATGCAATGCCACAATGCAACTCATCATGTAGTGCTAATATGGTGCAATGCAAGCATCCAATTAGAGGCAACAAGTCAAGCATACAACCAAAGGACTTAGACTAAAATGGGAGGCCTCAAACGCCTCCAAAAACAGTGGCTAATAGTGCCTCAAGCGATGAACGAAATGCACTACAAACATGCAAGTCAAAAGGGGCCCAAGGCTAAGGCATAACAAAGGGCATTCCACTACTACTAACCCAAACAAGCATGGCATGAACTATACAACCAAAATAGAATTTTAGTATGCAAAATGAGCTCCAAAATCCACTGGTGTGGCAGCCCCAAAATGACCCAAACACATAGGCATACACAATGCGCATTTCAAGGCATGAAAACACAACACTTCGAGGCATTGAAAGAGACACAAAGGACAATGTAAGGCCACATTATATGGACTGAAATATGATCTCAACTAATGCCAAATGATGATAATGGGCTAAGCTAGGCATGTTAATGATCCATACACTCAAGGTTCATGATCCAAAAGCAAAGCAACTATATCATGCATGCTAAACAAGTCCAAATCAGTGGCCAACAGACCTTATGCATGGCAAAATATGGCCAAGAACTTCACAAAGTAAAGTCAAAATATGAGAGCATATTGATCAAAAGTCATGATGCATTTCTAGGCACAAACAAGGGAATACAAAGCAAGTATGTTAAGCATGCAAAGGGCCACAAATCCGACTGAAACAGAGATAACATGTGACCTAAATAGCACCAAAAACATCTGATATGGAGCCCAAAACAACCAAGCATATATGCTACCCTTATGAGAAAAAAAAAAAATGCACAAATGAGACACAAAGGGAGAGGGGTGTCCCTCCCCTATATAAGACTTCAAACCATCTTCTTCACCACTGAAAATCCACTGCATTTCAGTGGTGAGAAGACTAATACAACAAAGTAAATAAGGCTTACAAAAAAAAAGCACCAAAAGAGGCCTAAGAGGGGGATTTCGACCCCCAATGCCAAAACATCCTTAATGAAAGATCTTAAGCATGAAAATATAAGACTTTTTTCAGTTATACAAAAAGCTCAAATCAATATGCAAGATAGGTCAAAAGCCAATGCAAGATTGGGGAAACTAAAGTAAAGTGATTACCCTTGAAGAACCCTTGAAGAACAGATGGTCCAGCCACCCTCTACTGACCAAAATTAGTCCAAAACCTCAACAAACAACCCTCAAAGTCCTTGAAAGTCGAAGTAAGGTGTGGTAGTGTGTGTGTTAGTGCAAAACTAAGGTAAAAATGCACTTTTGGGCCACAAAACACACACAAGGGATGAGAGAGAGGGAAATATAGAGAGAGAGTGTGTATGTATATGTGTAAGCTCTGGTTTTTTTTTTTCAAAATCACCAAGCTAGAAGAAGGAGGAGAGCTCTCCTCTTATAGAAGTTCCCCCTTGCAAAGCTTACCAAACAAGCTTGCTTAGAGGGAAATCCCTCCATACACGTGTATGGAGGGGAACAGAGTGGATGCCAGCCACAGCTGGCACAAAATATCTACTAAAGGTAGATGAACAGTGATCGGCCATTCAAAATTGCCATTTTGGCAAAATAAATGGCCGACCGGCAACAAACAGTGCCGACCGGCAATATACATTGCCGATAGAATAAAATCACTGGCCGGTGGCCTCAAGCCATGGCCGATGATGTGTGGGGATGCCTCACAAGGCATTCCCTGCCCCTCCAAGGCAAAACACAAGTGTTTGGTGTAAAACCAGACACAACACGGTCGAGTCGAGAGGTCCTGAGGCAAGGCGCGCAACCGAGACCTCCGGGAACTCAAGATGAACACAAATAAGGGTAATCACCTAGTGTTCCAATGGTGACGTCCAAGTCTTGAGGACGGTCAAAAATGGGGTGTCTACACAAAGGGAAGAGAAATCAATTACAGCGATTTATAGTGATTCGGCATGCCGGACTTACATCTACTCCCCAAGTCTCGGAAATTTCTCCACTATTTTTCAAATAGTAATTATACCACCAGCTTCACAGGTGCTAGTGAACCTTTACAACGACTGACTGATCCTGATCACTACAACTAGTTTAGAATTCGGTGCCTAGTCACACATAATTCAAGTGATTTTATCCTAAAAAAGTCACTCACAAAAACTCTCTTTTTACAAGAATAATATGACTAAAGGATAGAAAACCCTTTTACAATTTTGCACAAACTCTTAATAAATTTTCTTACAGAAAATATAATTCAATGAAGCACAATATAATATTTGAGAATATTTCAGTATCACAGATTTTTCTCTTCCGCACTTCTTATTTTTCTCTTATCAAAACACTTCTATATATACACAAAATTATATCCGTTGAGGCAGATGCTCCTTGTCTTAACTTTATAGCACACAGAGCAACGTTTTGTTTGAAAATATTTGCCAGGTCACCTTCGATAAATAGTGATTTGCTGATTTTCTTTCAAATTTTATGGTTTTCAAATGTTGCATAGTAACTAGCATGTCAAACGATAAATAGTGGCCAGTCGTATTTTTCAAAACGTAAATAGTAAATGTTGTAAAATATTTTTTAAAATCAGATCTTGCACAGTAATTTCGATTTAAATAATATTTATAATAAATACATCATACAACATATATTTTAAACAGCTAATATTTTGTGTTAAAGAATGTAAAATATGTACATTAAAAAATTAAAACTTATCAAATAATATTTTAGATATTATCAAAATTAAATCACATAATTAACACTTATCCTTCTTCTTCTCTATCTATATATACGTTATTATTTATATGGGTTAGCTTTTTGAGTATGAGCTAACTCGCTGAGTTTGATAGATTTATAAATTTTTAATTTTGCACATGTACACTTCCCATGCGAATTCTTTGTAAAAAAATTGTGACAATTATTTTTTTATTAGATCAAATTGATACAAAATCTCAAATTTAAGATAAAATTGAGTCAATTAAAATTACACTTTATTGGAATTACTCTCCTATCAGTTGAAAAAGAAAAAAAAGAAAAAAGAAAATAAAGAAAAAGAAAGAAAGAAAAACTTGGCAAAACACTTCACATAGCCGAAACAGAAAGAATATCCAATAAGTCATCCCCTTCCAAAAAATTCGCTTACCTATCAACTTTATGCTGAGAATGTTGATTCATATATTAAAATGCAATTCAATGAAAATTTTTTAGATAAAGCAGAACTTATTCAAACTTTTCCCAAATAAATACTCCTTTCTTGTTTTGTTTTTTTTTGGTCAAGCATGACTCCTAATTTGAAGAGTAGCATCTATTACATATTCATCTCACGCATGCAGTATCTTTCATATCCATTTTCTATTAAATTAAATATAATGATAAATAAAATGGAAGATGAGGTCAAGTTCATTTCTCCACATATAAATGCTACACTAATATCAAATGTACACCAACAAACTGTGGAAGCAAGCAATCTTAAAAAATAATCTAACAAAAATGAAGAACCAATCTTCCAATAAATTTTGGCTTCTCGTCCTCCTCATTCTTTATCTCTCAGCCTCTTCGTCATCATCTGCACAACACTATGAGCAGCCTCAACAACGTCAGGTTTTGCCTCAACTTCTTCATTTGTCCTTTATCTGCTCTCTATTCCATGATTTTTACTATGAACTATCATGATAAATATGTATTTGACAGGTCTATATTGTGTACTTTGGAGAACACAGTGGAGAGAAAACGACTCATGAAATTGAAGACGATCATCACTCGTATCTGTTCTCTGTTAAGGGTTCCAAAGAAGAAGCTAAGGCCTCTCTTATTTACAGCTACAAGAATGTCATCAATGGCTTCTCGGCATTACTCACACAGGATGAAGCTTCCAAATTATCAGGTAAATGTTTTAGCATTAAAAAATTAGAATTTGCAAACATAATGTACATCATATAATATAAATTGAATGCAACTTCTCTCTTGTCAAATATCATATTGATTCAATAATAATAACTATATGTGTCTTCAAGAAATATAGTCTATTTTCAAAATTATAATTTTACATTTTTTTAAAATAAATATAATAGAATCGCCGGATTATAATTATAGAATTAATAAGAATTGTTTTTTAAATTAATGATCTACACACTATAAGTTAAAAGATGAACAATTCTCATCAATAAAATAAGACTTGTGGTGGACTCATGAGTCTTAACTGGACTAGTCCAGTCCACTAAACATGGCTAAACCTATAAATATTTGTTGGTAGAGGGGTGAATCCAAAAGGGAATGGCTTCTGTCCGGTCCTTAATCGGACTAGACCGCGCTGTTGGGCTCGTAGAGGCCCATCACGGGTCCCGTTTTAATAATCTGAACCGTGCAATATGTAGAACACGTCGAGTACTATATGCCTATAAAAAATCACGTTGATCGGATATCGATAGTTATGTGATCAAAATAGATTTTTGTCAATCGTTAATTTATTCACTGTCCATTTTTTTTTATATAAAACTGATTTGATCACATAACTATCGATATCCGATTAACGTGATTTTTTACAGGCATATAGTACTCGACGAGTTCTACATATTGAACGGTTCATATTATCAAAACGGGACCCATGGTGGACCTCCACGGGCCCAACAACACGGTCCAGTCCGATTAAGGACCGGACAGAAGCCATGCCCAATCCAAAAATCATGCCTGGAGGACCAATGTGATAGAGTAAAAAATAATAATAGAAAGTAATTTCTTACATTAGGGCTGTGAAAAATTTACTTTATGAGGAAAAAAAATCCATTTAACATTTTTTTTTCCAATTCTTTTCTAAAGTTATGAACTATTAATGAAGCCACTTTGTTGGTTGACAAAATCTAGTAAATAAAAGTATGTCTTTTTTTATTTTTAAAATGAAAAATAAAAAGAAGTGACATATACCTATTGTATAAATAAAATTGAATACATCATATTGATGCTATTAAGTAGTATATGAATAGATAGAGATCATCTCATCATACATTATGAAAAATTAATGAAATATAGAGCTAGTAAAATGATTTTTAAAAAGTTAAGAGATAATTCTATTATATATTTTACAAATACATATGAATATAGACCCGTTTGTTTTCAGAGGTAGAATGGAGAATATTGATGGTGAGGGGATTAAGTAAATTTGTGTTTGTTTTTATGATAGTTAGTAGTATGGTGATTGTTAAATTATTTTTATATAAAATAATAAAACAAATAAAAACCATGGTTTTTACTCAACAAAAAACACAATTTATTAAATAACATTATTTCAAAATGTGCTACTCTACATATATATATATATATATATAAATAAATAAAATTGCACTTGATTGGTTGACCGGCCGGTTAAACAGCTAGATGTCAGATTGGACGTCCAGTAACACTCTAAGCTGAATAGACTATTTTTTAATAATATCTCCTCGCCCAAACTCGTAATCCGCTCGCCCAAGACTCTTCATAGTCCAAAAGAACTACGAATCCGGACCTCCATAAATAAAACAAACATGACATCACTGTTAGTCAAGTCCGGACTGCGATAGCAGCAAACAAACGGGGGTAGTAGTGTAATTTTCCAAAACTTGGTAGGTTCGTGGCATCCTAGCTCCACAAGAGGTCCGCCACTGATTCATAAGACATGCATGTTTTAGTTGATATATATTGGTCTTTTAACCTTTTAATTTAGATGCACCTTAAAATATTAGTAAGAATGAAAATTACTTGTATATAAGTTGGTTCCCGATAATTCAAAATCAATTGGTTTGTTGCTATAAAATTGTTTTAGTTACTTTTTCTAATGATTTAAAAAAATTTACGATCACCCAATACATACCACCAAGGATCCTCTAGAGTGAAATTTTCCTAAAGTTTCCTAGAGTGCTATATTGTGTGGTTGAGATTTACTGGCAAGTCACATCAGAAAAATTGATGTGACTTGTCAGTAAATCTCAACCACACAATGTAGCACTCTAGGAAACTTTAGAGAAAAATCACTCTAGAGGATCCTTGCTCAATACATACCGCTTAAACTGTGGATACCCTATACCATGTTCGATACCCATCTGTCTTCCTATACCATTACACACACAAATTTGGTTCATTTCCCAACATTGGAAGTTGTGGTTCTTGACAGAGATGAAGGGAGTGGTTTCAGTGTTTCGCAGCCACCCAAAAAAGCACAGGCTTCATACCACAAGATCATGGGATTTTATAAGCTTGCTTGAGGCAGGTAATGGAGAGGCCAACCATCCATATCCATATGAAGAACTATTGCATAAAGCCAGTTATGGAAAAGATGTCATCATTGGAATGATCGATAGTGGTAAGTTAGATATATAAACTATAGTCTTATTCAATGAGTTCAATTAGTATGCAACAAAAATAATCATGAACAAACAGAAAGATGTTTACAAATAAATTTGCTGAATGCTTAAACCAAATAATTTATCCAAAATCTATAGTAGGCCACTGCATAACATTGAATTTTATTAGTTAGGTTATTTCTAGTTGGACATGGATTTTTCGAAACCATCTACTAATATCGGCGCAAACACTTAAATCATTTTGTCATTCTTTGATCCAAATGCTCTGAAGTGAGCCAAACTACATGAATTGCCCATGAATTACTTTTATGTTTTTCTATTTTCTCCCCTTCTTTATTCTCTTTCTTTGTTTTTACTATACTAATTTTTAAGAAGGTAATAATATTTACACCATAAGTGTATATCTGGAGAACAAGACTCGAAATCCAGACTTTGTGTCGTAAAGGAGGTCCTTACCACTTGGAATACACCTTTGTCGTTTGCGCAATGCTAACAGAAAATTGATTTGTATTGACGGATTGATCTTCCAGGGCTATACTTATTGTCTTTGTACTACTTAATTTTATATAATTTTTTAATGGTGTAGGTGTATGGCCGGCCGGTGCTAGATTCGAGCAAGTAAAGAAACTCCTCTGCTACTGTCCATAGCAACCCCTGTCTTCTTCTGTCTTTACTGTCGTCCAACTCTTCCCCTCCTTGGTTCCCGCTCAGGCTTGCAAATAAACAAAATCGTTTGTAAACAGGTTCAAACTCAATTCGATAAGAACTCGTTAGAACTCGATTCGTTAATTTTTTTTTCTTTTTTTTTTTAAATTCGAACTCGAGGTTGAGCTTGTTAAAATATTAATAAACAAATCCAAACATACTAAAGTTCGGCTCGTTAGCTGGCTCGTTTAACATTTATTATTTATATATTAAATAATATTAAAATATGTATTTTTAAATTTATTTTTTAATACACACCACTTTAGGAAGAGAGGATCTAGTGCTATATTTATAGTGAGAGTATAAGAACAATATGTCAAATTTGATAGGAAACATGACAGACCTACCAAACAAAAGTGAATGGCAGGCAAACACGCATACATGGATATTAGTTTGAAAACATCATATGTTAATTAGGAAACTTGTAAATTGTAATTTGTGCAAGTACAAGAAGATATAATATTCTTTTTTTTCTACAAAAACTTCAAGAACGAAGTTTAGTAGCATTGTATAAATCTTGGATGCAGCCAACACCCCTACCGGGTAATTATTCCTCAATTATTTATTTATTTATTTATTTTGAGTTTATTAAAATGTGCTTTTACGTTGTAGGAAACTAATTGGGGCTCGATACTACATAAAGAGTTATGAGGCAACATTTGGTCCTCTCAATAATACAGAGGACTACCGGTCACCTAGAGACAAGGACGGCCATGGCACCCACACAACATCCATTGTTGGAGGCCGTAGAGTTATGAATGCTTCTGCCATTGGTGGCTTTGCCTATGGTACTGCCTCTGGTGGGGCCCCACTTGTCCGACTAGCTATATACAAAGCATGTTGGCCATTTCCAGGCCAGCCCAAATCTTACGGAAACACATGCCTAGAAGATGACATGCTTGCTGCCATTGATGATGCAATTGCCGATGGTGTTCAAGTTCTTAGCATCTCCATTGGAACTAGTCAAACCATTCCATACACACAAGACGGGATTGCAATTGGAGCATTGCACGCTGCGAAGCGAAACATTGTAGTGGCATGTAGTGCTGGCAACTTTGGTAATGTCACTAATGTGGCTCCATGGATCATCACTGTTGCTGCAAGTAGCATTGATCGAGTTTTTCCTTCACCTCTCGTGCTAGGAAATCAAATGAAAATTCAGGTAATACTCTAATTTTACATGCAATATATATATATATATATATGACATTAGATCCTCTGTTCTTAAATCATTACATCGCCTTATCTCAAAGCACTCTCAACCATTACATGTATATGTGAAAATCTCAAGATTATGTAATCCTCAAGGCATAATCAAATGATTGGGATTGCGTTGGGAAAGGAAAATGAGATTTGGGAATCCTCTAAGAGAAAAGATCCTCGACACGTTCATTTACTAAATGACAAATTAAACCAATAACCTTGAAAAAAACGTGTTTTGTTGCTTTTGTCTGCAATCTTTTAATTTTGTCAAATTGATCCCCAAAATTTACAATAATTTTATCCGCAAATTTTCATTTTTCATTTTACCTTCGTAATAAACAGGGACAGACAGTCACTCCGCTTAAACTAAGAAGGATGCACCAACTAGTTTATGCGCAAGATGCAGAACTCCCAGGAGATATAACTGGGTACTAAACTTTACCAATCATTTACATTCCTATATTCAATTTTTTGTTTTGTTTTTTGTTTTAATATCTCATGACTTGATCTTAAATATTTGATTGGATCTTCTAGACAGTGTCTACTTGGTACCTTTCATGAAAGCAATTGAAAGGAAACAATATTGTTTTGTTTTCTAAAAGAATAGAGTTTCCTAAAAACTCGCAGGGAGGATAAAACTTGCAGAGTTCCAGTAAATACCAAGAAAAAGAAAACACTAAAAAATAATTATCGATGATTGTCTGACATCCTTCACCAAAATGATATAATTTTGTTGCCAAATTTGCGAAGCTTTTCTTCTTGTTGAAGAAAACGCTGAGAATTATAGTACAAATTACAGAGTTTGTTAAAAACGCTAGGAATAATAATTTATTGCCAAATTTCTGGAAATGTTGAAGAAAAAAACTTTATACGTACTAATGGCTTGATTTCAAATATTTGATTGAATTTTTCAGAAATTGCCTCCCCGGTACCCTTTCACCAAAGCTTGTAAAAGGAAAGATTGTTGTCTGTTTGGGATTAGATGTCCAGAGTGCTATGGAGGTGAAAAGAGTAGGAGGTGTAGGTATCGTCCTAGTAAACCCCTATGGAATCCTCGGAGCTCAATTACTTGCAGGAACAACAGTAGGACTGAATGACAAAGCTACAATTGTCAATTATACGAGGACTAATGTGAATCCAACGGCAACATTAATCCCAGGAACTACTATTTTGGGTAGTAAACCAGCACCATTCATGGCTCCCTTTACCTCATTGGGTCCAAATGGCCTTGAACCTAATATTATTAAGGTACGTAAGCTGTTATATTTGATTATTAATTTAATGTCACAAAGTCAAGCTTAACCTCCATAATTTGCCTCTTCTACCTGTGGGCGTTATGCATTTTTTGAGTCTATAACTAAGAAAATACCACACATACCCTTCAATCTATATTTACAAGAGAGAGAAAATCCCTACCTTACACTAGAAGAGAAAGAAATTCCCAAATCCCGACATGTGTGAATCGAAAATTGACTCCGTTGAAGTTGAAGCCCTCAAGGTGCTCTACGATGCTAGTTCTCGAGATTTTGGCAAACTCAAACCCTAGGTAGCTTAGATCGAAGCTTTTTATGGTATTACAAACTATTTTATAGACAAAGAAAGTAGAGAGAGAAGAGAGAAAATCTGAGACAAAGAGAGAAGAAAGCGAGAAAAAAAGAATAAGAAAAACAGACTTGAGTCATTCTCGCCAGGGCAATCAATCGCACTACAAAAGTGATTGATCGTAAAACAAAAGGGAGCGATCACACAATGACTGCTATGCACTGCCCGAAGAATTTAAATTTGGTTCTCAATGAAGCAAATCAATCACTAGTTACTACTCGAAAACTCTAAAATTTTAGTGTGAAGCGATTGCTTTGCGGTCTCTCTCTTTACGTGACTTTGCGATTGCCAGTTACAGCTAAAAACTCAGATAAGAACTCAGATGAAGCGATTGATCACCCTGAGCTGTGATTGACAGGCAACTTAGAAATTTTCCAAATTCTCACAAGTTAAACCTAAACCAATCCAATTCTAAAAAATTCTAAAGTTGGGAATGATAAATTAGGATGACAATAAGGATAATACTAAACTATAGTCTTATGGATCAAATTATCATAAGTGGTAAAAGCGTATATAGGTCAGGCTTAGACCCGGACCGTTACAACAATAATCCCTGATAAGTTAACTGTTAAATCATGTCACTGTGGAAGAGTTATAAATTTTAATCCATGGCTCTATTGGCAGCCTGATATTACTGCTCCGGGACTAAATATTCTAGCGGCTTGGAGTGAAGCAATTTCTCCTACACAACTTGATGTTGATCATCGAGTTGTCAATTATAATTTACTATCTGGAACTTCCATGGCCTGCCCTCATGTGGCAGCAGTATCTGCACTTCTAAAAGCCATACATCCTAATTGGAGTAGCGCCGTTATAAGATCTGCGTTGATGACTACTGGTACGTACTCTTCAATATCAATGCACGAATGCAAAATACACATTCAAGACTTTTATGCTGTGTTTGGTTGGGGTTTTTGGGGTGGGATTTGGAAAAGGAATGAGAAATGTAATCCTATTTATGTTTGGTTATAATAAAAAATATATGGGAAAAGAAAGGAGGTGAGAAATAAATAAAGAAATAGAAGACCTTTTAGGACATCAATTCTATTTTATAACCAACACAACCAAACATAGTTGGGATTTGGAATTCTATTAATTCTTTCTCCTTTTCCTTTCATTTCCATTTCCCTTTCTATTTCCCTTCCCAAATCCCCCAACCAAACACAGCGTTAGGATTTAACATTTCTATTGCTTATTTGTTTTTTACTTTTTGGCAGCGACACTAAATAATAACATGGGTACACCAATAACTGACACTGCTGGAAATCTGGCAACCCCATTCCACTATGGATCAGGCCATTTCCAACCAGCTAATGCAGCAGATCCTGGCCTTGTCTACGATGCCACTTACACAGACTACCTTCTCTTCCTTTGCAGCACCGGTTATCATCTCGATCCATCATTTAAATGTCCAAAACATCCACCTTCACCAAGTAATCTTAATTACCCATCTCTTGCAATAGCTAAACTCAAGAGGACCGTTACTGTGAAGAGGACTGTCACAAATGTTGGTGCAAGCAAGAGTGTATACTCGTTGACCTTCAAACCTCCTATAGGTTTTTCTGTTGAGATCTCTCCAACAATCTTGTCTTTTAGTGAAGTAGGGGAGCAGAGAAACTTCTTCATAACAGTCAAAGAGGAGAGTAGGCCAAAAACAAAGCCTAAGGCAGGCGAGTATGCATTTGGTTGGTACATGTGGAGTGATGGAATGCATAGAGTAAGGAGTCCCATTGCAGTTTCATCTGCATAAGTTTCATAGGGAAAAAAATAATATAAGAATTTTTAGCCCAAATCCCTTCTTATATTATTTTTCTACTAGAGTCAATTTATGCTATATGTTAGGGTTTTCTTTGATGGAATAAATAGATTATTATCTTGACGAGTCTGTATGTTTTCAACCTAGTTAGGATATACTTATCTTGTAGTGATGCAATCGCTCTCTTGTTTTCAATTTAATAACATAATGGATGTAATTTTATATTTATGTAAATAAAGTCCAGTATTTTAGTTTTCATTATTGAATACGCAATTCTAATTCTTGTGATACACTTTAAAATTTTGTGTTAGAATTTTTTATTCATTCACTCGTGAATTTTGAATATACAAAATGAACCCAAACTTAGGAATGAATTAGAACCAAATAGGCCAATCCCAACCCTAAGCTCATAAATCCATATTTTTAAGTCCACAGGTACGGGCGCCGTGCCTTTTTCAAATCTAAGGCATTACTTTCCACACTGACTTCTTTTGACCAATAAAGAGTCGCAACTTAATTCTTAAAGGGGAATTAAGAAACCTTTAACAATGAAAACTAAGTTAAGGCCTAGGCCGTCACAACCAAGAAAATTCCGAGTTTGGGAGCTTAGGTAGAAAAGGGAAAGACCATTTTCATGGAGGCACCCCCTTTTGCCCAATCCGAAAATTGGCCTCCACTCACTTTCTATTTTACGATTTCAGTAGTTAATTATTTCATACAATCAAAACCCTTAACTAACCCAAAAACTATGTGATTTGAGTAAAAATGAATATCATCTATTTTAGATTGAATGAATAAAGGCATATATATTTCATAAAAAGAAATTTTTTATTAAAAGTGGATTTTTGATAATCCATGGCCTTAAACGTAAACTAAAATACACAATATTCATGAAAACATACAAAACACACAATTTTGTACATAAAGAGCATATCGACTTGCATTATTCAAAAGACAATGCAAATAGTACACACATGCCAAGAAGGTGAAGAAAACTTACCCAGATGCCCACTTATGCTTCTTTCATGCAATACACAAAATTAAATATGACCCTATATAGATACAACTAACATACAAGAATGATCGGAGTCCTGGTTTGAGGCTACCAACATGATGATTATGCATAAAATACAACTACCAAATAAAAAGCAAAAATACTAGAAAATTACATGATGATCAAACCCGACTATACCTGATTATTATGCGATTAAATGAAGCCTAAAATATGTTGTTCTAATAAAATAAAGAAAACATGCAAAAGGAGGCAAACAAGCGAATAAAATGAATAAACTACATGATGAGATGATGAATTAATATCCTATCATGTTTTGAATACTAAGATAAGAGACTAAAAGGTAATGAAATATAAGAAATAGAAGAGTTTTACTTACTGGTTTATATAAACCTAAGGCACACAAAGAAAATAGCAAGAAAGCAAAGGTTTCTTACTTACAAGCCTCCCTCAAGCTTTGGGTTATGACTTAGTTCAAGTTCTTCAGGCCTTATGATGACTTGCAGAGGCTTAGAGTTGCTGTAGGTAAGGGAATTTCATGGCTAAGGCCAAGATGAGAAGAAAAAGTGGTGTTTAGCTCTCAAGTGCTCTCAAAATGTGTCACGCCCCAAGCTTCGTGACAACGCCGCACACTCATTTAAGTGAGCATGCAAGGCTAAGAGTCCAACACATAACTAACAATGTAAAATACTCAAATTAAATCCTTAAATATCATAATGCTAAAAACCATACAAATAGATAATTCTTATTATATGAAATTGTCCACCAAGTCCACTAATAATAATAATAATAATAATAATAATAATAATGATCAAAGTACTTAAATCATAGTCCTACTCTCGGCACTCCCACAAGTAAAAACCTCGCGTAGCTCTACTCCTCAGAATCTGAAAAATAAAATAAGGGTAAGCTAAACAACCTAGTAAATAACCAACCATCACTGCTAATTGGATCAAGTATACAAAATAATAATAATAATAATAATAAATCGATAACCAATAAATATAATTTTTTTCTACAGTACAATAAATGAACAATTATTTGTAAGATGGTTTCATAGCTAAAAATAAATAATGTACCATACGTTTTAAATGAAAAGCCAACAAGATAATTCAAAGTAATTCATTGTTCAAATCGATGGTTCAATATTCAGATGGTTCAATGATTTGATTCACAAAATCCAAGTCTTAATGACTACGGTCACTTAACCCGTGACAAGGCCCAGAACCACACATAGGCCAGTGATAAGCCCCAAAAGAAAACTAGTTTCTATGCCAATAAATAACCCCCATTAGCTAGGGTCCAAATCATAGCAGACTAGAGTAATGTTTAAAATTCAAACAATGCACAACTTTTAAATAAAATATTCGATATTTTTGGAATAAACATTTGGTACAATTTTCAGAATAGTTTCACAAAATATTCAAATAACTTTCATAATAATATTCGATGTTGTTTTATACTTGACCCATATTTTGTTTTAAGAGAACATGAAGGCTATAAATAAATATTTATGATTTTAAACGATTCAGTAGGAATAAAAATGAACCAACAGTGATAGAGGGTTACTTACCTCAAACAGCTAAAATAATATTTTCCAAGCTAATCTCAAATTACCAAGATCCACCTCAATCTCACAAACCTAATAAAATATTACACCGCATAAACAATTATTATTTGCACCCATCCTTCTCTTCTTGTAGCAACCATAGAATAAATTAATCCAATTGTTTATTAGGAACCCCCACAATTCAGCATCAAAACAAAGCCATCACGGCTTCGGAATTCTCAACCTATATTATTCTATTGTTGTTCATATACATGTATAAATTTGTAATTGCTTGTAGCCAAACTTGTATCACACAAACGCACCACCATTAAACTTAACCTATCACATATTAATCTCAAAATATGAACCACTAAACCGAGATGCAAAATACACTCTAAAATTGAGCAAAAATCGAGACCCCTAACATAGACTGCATCAATATATTTATTTAATCATATATGCCCATAAAATCATCTATTGATATATTAACACCAAAATCATAGATAAGAATACAATAAAATAAATCTTACCTAAATGATGTATAAAGCAAAACCACTACTCTTCTGAATCCTCCCTCTTCCTATTGGTTTTGGTTTCTTTTCTTTAATTTTAAACTTCTCCAAACCCTTGCTTGCTGCCTTC